TCCTTCACCATATTCGCTTTTTTTAACCTTCGTCGACGTTTGTTTATACACAGCATTACATGAAACAAAGCAAAACTGCACAGTTTTACACATGGCACAAATATTCGCAAATCTCCAAATTTCGAGGCGCCACGTTTTTTAACAAAGTAGATTTTTGTGGGTTCTCACTCCGCGAATCTCACAGAATTTACACGACCTTGCAATCCTAAAATAAGGGCGAGAAGTATTATTTTTGTATCGGCGAGTGCTTTTTGCGTAATGTGGTAATCCTCTTAACGCCCTTAATAAATCTCAGCACCTCTCTAAGCCAATGTGAGCACGAGAATTTCCCAAAGCGCGGCTTAAATGTACCTTTATCTCTTTCACATTACCTTAATTCGTATTTTTACATTCTCTTGCCGTTTCGCATTAGGAATTAGAGGTCTTTGTACATTAAGCTACCTCTCATTTTACTTTGGTTTGGTATTAAATACCTTGGACAACCATAGTGTTCTGAGGTGAGTTCTCGTGGCCTATCTCTAAATATTATGGACGTAACGTTAGTTTGATGTTAGTTGTGTCAACATTGTTGTCATACAGTTTGAAAATGAGGAGTTTAGTGCACCTATATTTTATTAATAATAAAACATTACTTATGGTGATGATTTGTTTCCTCAAATCGTGAGTGAATGAACAATTTTATCACATCAAAAGCTTTTGTCTAAACATCTGCTTATGTGAATTCACATTTCTATAATTAATTATGATGTGATTTTTATATGTAACTTTCCCTTAGATTTTAAAATCCTAGAATCAGCGCTCGATATTTCTGATAATTTATATTTTGTTCCATGTAATGATAGTGGTCTTACTCTTTAACACTCGGCAGTGGATGCTTGAATGGTATCAGTTATATTGTTACGATACTGATTGTACCATTTCCACAGCTCCATTTATTTATAGAAAATCTTGAAGGATTTGTAGTTGCCATTTTATTCCACTGAAAATCGATCCCTGGAGAACGCTAACTAAAAACCTGACATTTCTAATTCCGCCTTCCTCAAAGCCTCCGCCGCTCGCCGCTTGCCACTTTTTCCAAAAGCTTTAAATTTTCCTTCCGCCGGTTCCTCTTTAAAATCGATTCTTCAACGTCGCGAACGCCCCCTGGCTGCGGGACGCGGGTGGGCACCAGGGGAAGGCAAGTACATGTGTACTCGCTCCCACGAACCACCTCCCCCTTCCCCCCCCCTTCCAAGCTCGCCCGCTAATCTTCTCCTGCGCGATGTTGTACTCATCAGGCACTTCGCGTTCACCTGTGCGGCTCCGAGGCAGAAACAAGAGATTAAAGAAAAGTGCAGCAAATGTGTCGCAAATCTGTGCTTTAAACACATACAAACTCTATTTGATGTTAACTCAAGAATAATGTGGATCTGCTGTTTGTACATTTTCATTGTTTTGACGCTGTGTAGGTCAATCGAATCATGAATTATTTGTTTTAGAAACAGATGAACTCATTATTTCTTCATTATAATTTTAGAACGTGACAAAACCACAAACGAGCGAATTTATCATTTGATTGATATGATATTATTAGGAACTGAGAAGATTTAGTGCATGAAATACTAATTTTTGTGAATAACATCAACGATATTTATGTTCGTTTTTGAAACATTCAAAAAAAATATTTAATAATAGGCAGTAATATACAGAAAATGTAGTCCACGTCGACCGACCGGAAAGTTACTTCTGATTTTATGATGTGGCCACACTTATACTGCAGCTGACGAAACCAAACTGCTCCTAAGTGGCCACCAACCACGCACTCTCACTCTGCGCTGTGACTCCGTCCACGGGATCTCGGGGGTGTCAGCAAGCCGTGGAGACGCCCCACTTGCCCCACTTGGCCGATCTCAAATGTAAATTCGCTGCTCGTTTTGTGCGCAGATATGATTACCGCGGCGGAAGTCTACTACGCACTGGGCCGCGAGGGGTGGGAGGGGACGAGCAGGAAGGAGGGGGAGGGGTGCGGATGCGGGCGGCGCAGACGCGGGGGCGGTAATGAGGTTTGAAATAATGCATGCTGTGTGCGGGCGTGATTGCGCACGCGCGTGTTTGCACGGCCGCCTCCTTTTCCCGCTCCCGCTGACGCCCGCGCTCCGCCCCCCCCGCCCCCTCACCATGCGCCTGCCGCACGCACCGCTCCCCTCGAATTAAGGCAGCGGCCCGCGGAAACCCACCCCGCCCGGCCGCGTTCTCCGGAAACTTGCAACAGCTCAAAAGCTAATATGCTGACGATGATGACACAGCTATAATTAGAAGCAAGGAAATCTACAGGCGAGAGTGAGGGCGTGGCGGCGGGTCGAGGCGATGGCACCGCGTGGGTAGGGCGACGAAGGAGCGGGGGGGGGGAGAGGTTGCCGCGAAAGGAAGAAAGCGAGGAGAAAAATAATAATAAAAAAAGATCTTGTCTGATACACAAAAGAAAAATGTGGGCACGCTTGTAACGGGTCGCGAAGCAAAATGGCGTACAAAGAAAAGTCAATATAGAGAAAAATTTTCCATTTTTGATTACTCAAAGAGAAGGAAGAGTCGCGCGGCAAAAGACGGCGCCCAGCTGGCAGGCGAGCGGGTAGGCGAACGAGCAAGCGCAAGCAAGCAGGCAGCGAACCCGCGCACAGCGAGCTGGGAGCAACCAGGCGCTGGTGGGCGGAGGGGGGTGGCGCGGCTGGCTTGCACGCCCCGGCGCCACCAAAGGCAACGCTCGAAGTGGGAAATGCTCAGCGAGCCGTGGTGGGCTGGGAGCCTGGGCGTCGGCACACGCGGCGCGGGTGCTGGCGGGGCGGGCAGGCGAGCGTGCGGGAGGTCGCTCCACCTGTGGCGCACGAGTGGAGCGCTGGCGGGGTGGACAGCCCCGTCCCGAAGGCCGTTTTCTCCGGGTTTCGCCGCGGTCGCGTTGGTTTCAGTTCTTTTTCCTCTCATTGCATTGCTCCTTATCCCCTCACCTCTCTCGAAAAATCTCTCTCTGCGGCAATCCCTTCCTTTTCTTTCCTCTGCATCTAATTCACTCCTCCCTCTAAATCTCTGTCGGTTCCACTCCCCAAATCTTTCTACTCGTGTAACGTACATGTATACCCTGATCTCTATAAACCAAATTTCCCTTGAGGCAATTCTTAAAAATGTTCATCATTCACCCACTTTGGGCATTCACCATTTTTCCTTAGTGCTTCTACATGTTATGGATATTACGCTATCGCTGTGGATACCAGTTCCATTTATCTTAATAAGACCTAGTGTTCGTAACTGCCTGAAAAAGATTTTTCTCGTGGCCTTCGTTCTGATGTTATTATGTTACTAATACAATAAATTACTACTTGTGTGGTTGTCTTCATTACTTCCACTTCTCAATCCGTTCCTTACAGGAGTCAACCAGGAAGTGAGATTTTTATTTACTGTGTTATCCTGCTTAGGATTGTTCTAACCCTATTCTCCTTTCAGTTCACTGTCTTCACATCTGCAGTGCAGTTATGCCAGGATACCTAATCGTATGTCCGATCAGTCACCTGTCACCGTCCTATTCTGCTGTCGGTAGATGCTGCAGCTCTCCGTCGCGCCGTGTTCCCGTTTCCCCCTCCATCAAGCATTCGTTTCCAAAAATGTCCCTGTCCCCGATCCGGCGCTCTTTTGTGCAGTGCTGTATGGGGGAAAAGAATTAGAATAGTGCACATCATTGGTCGGAAGCGCCGAGCACGAGAGCTGGGGTGTCGTTGGGCGAATGACGCTCTCTGTACTCGGATCCTCTTTTTTTTTCTTTGGACATCAGAGGAACTGCAGTAGTTAAGTGTCCGATATGAATGGCTAATGGCGACTCTGGATTATTTTCGTTCTCTCGAAAGGGTATTTGACGTTTTTAATACTGTAGCACCGTGGCCTAGATTCAGTATTTTCCGTTTCAATGCTATCGCATCTGTGGAGATTTGAGAGAAAAATCACCGCGTGAAAGCATTTTTATCTCTCGATCGGCATTCAGCGGAAAGAATGTAGCCGCCCCGGCCTCCCCGCCATTCATCGTTCTTTTGACATTTCGCAACTCTTCTGCCATCCGGCTCCAGCTTGGCGGTCCGGGCTGGGGGCAGGTGGCTCGCTCCGAAACTGGCCAATGGGTCCACGCGAGTGGGAGAAATCTCGTTGGCCGAGGAGGGGTATGCTCTGCTGCCGAGAATGCTTCGCTTTCTTTTCATGGAACCCAAAGTGCCTGAGCGAGATATGCTGTCGCGTGTTTCCTGGGATTGCTCAGGATCGGCTTAGTTTTGTGCGGGACCTTTTTGTGTAGGTTTTAATGTGCGTAGATGCTTAAAAAAGGCGACGGAAAAGGCATTAATCCGGCGTGGATGAACACAACGAAATAATTCAGAGGAATGAGAGGATAATATACGTGAGGTGTTTGGAAAGAGTTCAAGGTCTTATTCAGCGCTCTGCTAAAATGTGACAGTTCGTATGTCATGGATTAGAGATTTACATGTGACAGACTTTCAAACTACACGCTAAATGATGGTAGTGTCAAAAGATATTTTACTTAGTCCTTGTGATATAGAGAGCATATATTTCGATTGAACAATAACAATATGTGTGAGCTAGGAGTTGAAGAATCCTATCTGTTTGATTCGACGCGGTATATGTTGTTCCTTGTCGACTTGGGAGCTCGTTGGCTTTTGTGCAACTTATTGGTCTGTTCTTCTTTCCATCAAAACTGAATATTAGCATTTTTATATCTCCAGTATAATTTTTCCTTCTTAATCATATGAAGCGCAGAATTTATTTAGTACATATAAATTAAGCTATTGGTATGTCTGTTTCTCAATTTGATGAAAATTATTTGTGCAATTGGTAAGTCAGTGTGTTCATTTGACCAAAATATGGACATTATTTGTGTAAGTGTGCATTCTCTCTTATGCATCTGCTCATGAACTCTGATGTAAACAAAAAGTGATCTTCCTCTTCTCAAACAATTTTCTTTCTTCCAGACCATGTACGCGAGTTCTCCTGTGGCAAGATGTACTACCGCACATTCTATTTGGACGAAAGAAGGGATTCTCTCTACGTTGGAGCCATGTGAGTAATAACACTGTTTCTTTGTTGTGTTAAAATTTTGCTTTGTAAGCCGTCTCCTTCGCTCATTTCGCGTTTACTACTTTGAAATAGCTATTTTCTAAACGAACTCCCTCATAAAGTGCATACAGCGTGCTGAAAACTCCTGCTGCGAAATCTCAGACGCGTTCTCCAAAAAAAAAAAAAAAAAAAAAAAAAAAAAAAACTAATCCGAACAGAATGGCTCTATGTATCCCTGAAAGCGGCTATTCCTCTGTGACTTTCTTTGCCAGACGAGGAGCGTCGTAAACCCGAAACTCACTCTTTGGTCTCGAATTCTCCTCGCCCTGACTTTATTTCCGGACCGCCGCTTTATTACGGCCTAATGAAATTGGGGACCGGGTATCTGCCGTAAGAACCTATTCCTGTGTTAAGTACTGACGAGTGAAATGATGACTTTAAATACAAAACATCGTAATCAGTTTTGACTGAACTTCAAGTCAAAGCGTGATGATCTCGATTTATTTCTGGAAATTTGCTTTGTGTTTCTTTTCAGGATTTTATCGTTCATTTACTTAATAATCCGAGAAAGTCTACAGTTCGAGGTTAAACTTAAAAGTATCGAATTCCTTGTTTGCTTGTACAAACTACCGGACAAAATCTCTCAGAAATTGCACTTAATGAATATTGCTTAGCTAATACTTTGGAAGTGCCAAGACGTTCGAAAAGAAGCTCGTGTCAGTTTTTGGGAAATGAATGTGTGTTTTTAGCTCCTGCACCCAAGAAGCTTTTAAAAGAATGAAGCAATCGATTTCTGGTCGTCCTGCAAGCGCTAATGAGAGTAGGACGACGGCTCAGCCGGAGGTTAAGTCCACCGCACACGCGATCTCTCGCACACGCCAGTGGTTAAAAGGCCTCTGATTTGGCTAACAAGAAGCAAACGAGGGTTGGGTGATCATCAGTACCATGCGACATATTCATTTTTCAGAACCAAAACTTCATTGATTAAATATGTAACGTAAAAGAGAGGGTAGCTTGCATATTATTTCAGGATACGGATTGTCGACCGTATCGTCAATCTGAATTGACCTCATATCGAGTGTTTCCCTCATCCTTTGTTCTATAGTCGTTCTATAAAATCATAATTACGTTATATAAACATATGATGGTTATAACGAAAATATACGCTTGTAAATGTTTTGCTTTTTAGTATTCATGCTTTCAAATAATGCTCTGAAGTTGTTACAGCACGCAATTTGAGTGATTAACGCCACCTTTACGAATTAATTCAAATAGATAGGTCTGTTTGCAAGTGCCAGATTCCCATGGTGGCTGTTATCTCGGCTTTGAGAAACATTCCACACTCGTTAATCCGCTGGTTTGTGAAACGTATTTGAAAATACACAACGGTGAACTCATCGAAAAATAGGTACCTTTCCCTTAACATATGCCATATTTTTTACAAAATCCTTTGATAACATAATCTAGTTATTATTGCATCTTTGAGTTCCGAGCTGTTTTTACTTTCTCATAAATATACGTACGTATATACAGAGTAATATACGCATAGAGAAATTGATGTAATTGCTGTGAAAAGGTTTGTTTTTCGACCGAAAAACTAATTTTGTGGCTCTCTGATACCATAAAAGAGGATTTATTCTCTTCCTGTATGGGGTAAATTACTTTCTCTAATAGGTAGCGTGGTCGGAATGCATGTTTTTGATTCCTTAATACCGAAAATCCGCCCTTTCCTCCGCGCACGGACTATTCCCAGGATTTTTTCCAAATGAATATTTTCGTGTTGATCGGACCTGATTTGAAGCCCAATGATTTTGGATGGAATTCTTCAAATTGTGACGACATGAAGGACCTATGACATTTTCAAAAATGTTCTAAAAAATTGCTCCAAAATGTTTCTTAAAATTTTGGAAAGAATGAGCTCGATCGTAAATAATATTAACAATAATATACATAATAATATGCAAAAAAACTAAGGAAAACTAAGGTCAATTAGTAAACGTTTGTGAACGAATATTGACGAAAAGAGAAAGAGAAGTGAATAATGAGATAAGCATAAGTATGGCCGACAACTGGTTGAAATAAATTAAAAAAACAAAAATCGTGAAGATATGTATAAAATGTATTATTGTAAAATGACATTCTCTGGCCGTAATATTTCCTAAAACTAAGTCGTCCTCCTGCGGAGCTGGGTGCGCTCTTCCTGACCCGCTGTTTCCCGTATTTGCTGCTCTCGGGTCCCGAATCTCTCCCACCCGGCGCTTCGCCCCTGTGGGCGCGCCTCCGCCGCGCGCCGGGCGACCGCGAACCGCGTGCAAATCGTGCACCGCCGCCAAATATTTACCGCCTGTTTTTGCCGCGCTCTTCTCCCTCTCCCACCCCCGCCCTCTGCCTCCCGTCGCCTCCACCCACCGCAGGCGCCTCGTGGCATCGCATCGCGTCGCGTCGCGTCGCGCTCACGACCGCCTGTTTGGCCAAAGTTCACAGAGCGCGGTACGGTCGCGGACTCGCGCGCGCGCGCGTCCGCCGCCTAGGTTTTGTTCAAAGCGGAGGCACGTGACGGCACGTGCGGCGCAAACAGGCTCGCGGCGGCGGTGGCAGCGGGGGGCTACGTGCGGCTGCACGGCCCCTGCCGCCCCGACGTGCGCTCGAAACGGACCGACGTTCCTGAAATGCTCGTTGTGAAATTTCACTGTTGCGCAGTTTGCGTGAGGCTTCCGTTATCTGTGGCATCTTGCTGTTGGAACATTTCCCGCTTTCGGCAGGAGTTGAAGTGCTTGCACATTTGGCTTTTCAGGATGTTCAGAAATGTTTGCGTTTCAATCGATTAAAAGCGTGTCATTTCTTTTGTAGTAATTACAGTGAAACTTGGGTTAAGCAGACACTTGTCATTGTCGGTGTCACAAAAAAAACGTGGTGGTTTAAATGGGGAATTATTTGCAAAAAAATGTATTATTACGATATCGGTGTTTAGATGAGTGACTTTTTTATCGTATATTTATGAAAGGTCTTTAGTTTATGAGCACAAATAATGAAAATGAAAATTTTTGACAAAGATTTTTTTCCTTTTTAACTTAAATGGCGTTTTCGGAATATGTTTAATATATTTTTAAATGCATTAAACATATTTTCATCTCCTTCTCTTGGATGCCCAATAGTTGGCTTTCAAAGGCAAGTGATTTAGCTAATCTTATAGGCATATTGCCTGCGACAATTCCAATACAGACGCATCTCGAGAATAAATTCGGAGCAAATGAATACTAATAAGAAAGCTGCTGGAATATGCCGTTATGCGTTATTTTCGTTTCCGTAATTATCACGTATGGTTTTATGAAATATTTAGATATGGCTTTTCTCGTTTATTGGTAATTTTGGTTTATTGCCTTTTCTCACATTTGCAATGAGCGCGAGCTATGTGTGACAGAGATGGTAATAATGTCGCCAGAGAACTACCCAACAAGAATAGAAGCCATAAAAAAGCTGGTTGGATACCAGGTAAATAAGTAATTACAGGTACATATTTTTCACATAACATCTTCAACCCCAAAACTCAAAATTTTTCGTCTCATTAAAGTATATGCATTCGCCCTCGCCCTCGCCCTCGCCCTCTCCTCGCCCTCTCCTCGCCCTCTCCTCGCCCTCTCCTCGCCCTCGGCCGCGGCGACGGAGCCACGGTCGCCGGGGCGGGGATACGCGCGAATCCTCGAAACGCAGCCCGCTATCGATTGTCCATCGAGCGTAACGCACCTCGGGTAGCGGTCGCGCCCGCCGCCCCCCACCCGTCGGACACGCCCAACACCCGCGCTATCAGCCGCGCCGATAGCGTTAGCTGTTCGCACCGCGTGTTGACGCGCTAAAGAATGCTTCCCCGCCGCAGTCCGTTTTTTTCGTACATTTTTTTTGTTTTGCAGTTTTTAAATATATATACCGAGCCGATAAATGCGGCGAGAGGGGTAGTTCGCGTTTTTTGGGGCGCTCTCTGTGTTCGGAGCTCTTTTATAAGGGCGAAAACGCGATGGCGCCGCCCGCAAAATGCACGATTATTCTTTTGTTCTGGCTCTCGTCAATTTATGCTGGAGAAAGGATCTCTTGATTACTAATGAAGGTTCCCGTTGTTGCTGCTAACCAGAGCGGGCAAAGCCGTTAATCACCCTACAGGAAGCTTCTGAAAGGGTGCGTTAAGCAGATACAAGGACTCGAGCGAGAGGCGTGGGCTGCGGAAGGGTCGCGTCCTGCTAGCGAGGAGTGGGACGGGGGTGCTCCAATCTTGGTCTTCGCTGTCGAGGCTCATTTTCTGCTCGTTTGTCAAACCTTTTAGAGGATTGTGTTAAGAACTTAGTACGTAAAGGAAACAGGGGGAGCATAGAAATGTTTGGGAGAATTTCAGCCCTAGCATTGTCAAATACACATGTCAGGATGGACTTAACCTGTCAGTGCTCATTTGTAAAATTAAGTCAAAAGCATAACAATAAAGTGACGTTTGACTGGTGAGATCTCTACTTTATCCCGGATGATCATACATTTGTATCTAAAAGCAAAATATAATGCAAGTCATGTCTGTCGTCCCACCTAATGCATGTTTTTAAATATTGGGTAATCTGTTAAAATTGTTTAGGTTTACGTATTTGCAACATGAAATCTAGCGGACAGCTTAATCGTGTATCATATAAATATCAATGTGAAATGTCTTTTTTTTCCTTTAACAATAAAAGACCTGTCATGTCTTTTTGTTGTACAAACAAGAATAAGAGGATAACTTTTATTAATAATAGTTTATAATACGACAGAATAATATACAATTACTTATTTTTATTCTTTTGACTCTTCTTTTGAAGATGAGCCCCAGTCACAGCTTTACTTCAATCCTTATGTCTGCGTTAAATTTCATCTTTGGTATGCGTCGTGAGACTTCACCCACGTGAACTAAGTAAAACGTAAAAACCATAATGCCTCGGCTAGTCTACGAAGCAGGCAAACCCAACTGCCCTGCGAGATACGCGTTTGGT